CTCAAGCTCCAAGTAGATCTCCAGTTTGGTGCTCGATATGCACGTGCTGTAAGCCTCAAGCAAGAGAGGCAAAATCTTGATGCCTAACTTCCTACGCATAGAAGAATCTCGGCAGTATCAGATCCAGAACTCTCCGAAAGGCTATTATCCCCCAAATTATGCAACAAATGTTGCACATTAGCAGAACCAGCACCGTATACCTTGATCCAAAAGCAAATCAATGTATTAACTGTAATGTTGTCTTTTTCAATACCATCAACCTCCATCTCTCTCAATAACTGCTTAACTCGACAAACATCTCTAGTTCGACAAAGGCCACCGAGCATGACATTGTAAGTGTAGGTATTGGGAAGAATACCAAGCAGCTTCATCTGCTTAAACGAACTCCAAGCCTCTTCAAACCTACCAGCTTTGTAAAATCCACGAATAGCTGTGGTATATGAGACTACATCAAGGTTATAGTTTCTAAACAAAGCTTCTCTAAACAGTTTGATGGCCATATGATACTTCTTTTCTGCTACTAACCCATCAAGGACTGCAGAGTGGACGAAACAATCGATATCAGGGGTGACCGCAACAATCGAATGATAAAATCTAACAGCATTATTAATGCATCCTAGTCTGCACAAACTCCTCAGCACTGCAGCATAGCTATAACCATCTGGCTTCAAGCCTCGAGCAACCATATCATTGTAAAGCTCCAATGATTTATACGGAAACCCACTTTTGCACAGAACACCGAGTAAAGAATTGTATGCCACGAGGTCGATTGAAGAATCGGGCCCTGAAATTAACTCTGGGAGCAAGCTCACTTCACCACTAAGGCATAAGATAGGCAATACAGAAGACAGGGTATAGGAATCCGGTCTGAAGCCCCTCTGATGCAAATCACTGAAAACTCTGATAGCATCATCGTATCTTCCTTCCTTCGACAAACAATCGATCAAGACATTATAAAAAACTAAATCAGGTTCACAAGCTGCAGAGACCATAATATCCCAAACACCAACCGATTCGCTCAGCATTCGAGCTTTTAGGAGCCCTTTAATAAGCGACGTATACGTCACAATAGTCGGCAAACATCCCGAATCAATCATTTTCCCAAACAAACCAAAACCCAAAGGAACGTTGCCAGCTTGGCACAACACAGCAATCAGAATGCTCCAAATCTCCACGGTAGGCCGCAGACCTGAAACAAGCATAAACCCCACCAACTGAAATACCTCCTTGATCCTCCCCACCTTCTTAAAACAATCTAAACTCGAAGTAAATGATCCAACGTTGAACTGAAATCCTCTCCTAACCATCTCCCTCAAAACTCCTCGCACCCCTCGCCAATCCCCGCGCTCGCAGAGATTTCTCATCACAATGTTAAAAGTAAAGAAATTCGGCATCTGAGTCTCTCTAAAAAACCTCATCCCTTCACAAAACTGACCGCTCTTAAACAACCCATCGATAATCAAGTTCCTCGCAAGCGTGTTCGGCACGAACCCTCTCCTGCCCATTTCATCAAACACCTCCCGGGCGAAGATAAACATGTCCCCTCTGCAGTAGACCCTCATCAAAATCAGGAAAGTTTTGGCCTCCGCAGGAGACCCAATCGCCTCCAGCTCATCCACAATGCCGGCGATGGACTTGAGCTTGAATGTCAAGCGGCGGAGGACGGGGATCATTACGTCGAGCGAGCCGCGGGCGTGGAAGAAGTCGGGCTGGCGAGAGCACCAGAGGAAGAAGCTGAGGGAGATTGAGTCCGATGGGCATCTGGAGAGGGTCGAGTTGATGAGGTTGGAGGAGAGCTGAAGGGTTTTAGAGGGGTTTAATGAGCTCGGGGGTTTGAATGAAACTGAGCCGAGAAGTCGCTGGAATCTCAATATCATTGCAGGGAATGGGGGTTCAATGGAGGACCCCCAACAAAGAGAGGATTAAGGGGGGGAGCCAGAGAGAGAGGAGCTGAGCATTTGAGGAACATCAATGGCGATGCTCGCGGGAGAGCCAAACCCTGCTGTTTTCGTGCTGAGTTTTTTTTTTTTTAACGATATCAGTCCATGACATCTTTCACATTTCCAAATTAGTCCCTCAAATCATTGAAATTGTTATACGATCCCCCAATTTTTAAATTATTTTGAATTTAGAGCCAGTCTGATATAAGTAGTAGCTTTTATAGAAACAAGTTTTATAAACCGCTAGAAATAGTCGTTTGGTAATCATACATCAAAAGCTGCTCGTTAAAATATTACGAACATGTATGATACGTAAACTAAAAGAGGCAAAAATGCTTTCAAATGCATTCGCGAGGTTTGCTTGCAAAAGCACCCCCTTGAAAACCAAAATGATCTGAGCAAGCATGGAATAAAAATTCCCCAAACATTATTATTACAGCTTCTCCCAGAAAATAAGCAGAAACACCCCAAAAAAAAACAAACTGACCCATCAGTCATTGAAATAGTTATATACTGATACCTTGTTGGTTGCAAAATCTAAACAAGTCCTGAATCTACTTAGCATCAAGTCTCCCATGCCTCCTCTATTTATCAGAAGGCAGACACATCAATCAACTTTCATACAAAAAAGCAAATATAAGCTATTTTCGCTCAATTTTCTCATGTATAGTAGACAAAACTACGGGTTTCAACAATCAAGCCGCCTGTCTTGTAAACAAAATTAGCAGATGCTGCTGTCTGAACAAAAAGTTGAAAGAAACTGTAAAACGAAACCAAGCGGTTCCAAGTTCTTGACGTTCTCAAAATAAGATGAGATCCTCCGACAAGCCCACCCCTTTCTTCCCGAAAATCATCTCGTCGAGTTCGTTCATCAAGTCGTCGTCTGCTCCTAATCTTGCTGGAGAATCTGCTGGCGTTCCCGCGATAGCTCCTCCTTTACTGAACTGAGGAGACTCTTCAGGTTCAACTGATACCGGGATCACTGCAGGCTCTGGCTTGGTTTGGGCAGCTAGAGGTTTTTTGAGGTCTTCGTATTTGGAGATTGTCTTTTGAAGTTCGTCGTTGATACTCAGTGCTTCGAACAGTACAGCTTCGCTGTCTTCGGCTGTCTCTATGATTCTCTGGACGGTGTGTTGACATTGTCGGAATTGTTGCATGAGGAATGTCATCGAGTCATCCTGCAAGTACAATGAAATGAAATGATCAATTAGTGTATGCAGAACTACAATGAACTTTCAAAACTGCAGAAAAACATCAATGCTATCCTGCTGCTTTCTAGAGAGGAAAATGTAAGAATTCGAGATCTAAATTGTACAAAAAGAGAGGTGAAAGAAAACAAGCCGTAATTGTCTTACCAAAAATCGATATCCTTATTTTCCATTTAAAAGACAAATGCAAATAATATGAAATGCAAGGATGAACAGCATTGTGCAAAAGAAATACAATGTAATATCATCAGATTATTTTCTCTTGTTAGACAGAATGAACTAGTATACATTACCCCTAATACAAAATGCTGAAGGGAAGAGGATAACACGGTCGAAAGAATTTTGAAGCTGATTCGAGCAACATCAAGCTCTTCCCTTCTCTGCTCAGCTGTAAAACTCTCAACAGGGACATCATGATCAGCCTGACTAGCTGCATCGGCATAAGATTCTGGCTGTGCAACTGAACGAGGCGGGGTAAATATCGGAGCCAAACTCTCATCATCTCTACCAGGAAAACGTATGCCCCGAGATTTTAAACTCTGCAAGAAACAGAAGACCATCAGGTTTTGATGAGACGGAAATCAAGGGTTTCTCGCTTATCGCTTCGACAAATAGTTACAAGTCTAGTATTGAGTAATACATACCAAAGCCTGGTAGCTAACCGATATGGATTAAACAAACATAACATTCTTCATATATAATGCATACTGTTTTCCTAACATACTAGTAACTCTAATACCTAAAATTTACGGGTTATTCTTACAACTACTCATGAAAAAAAGATACCCAAGCTTCTTCGCGATATCCGTGAAACTGAAACATGTTATGTAATTGGTAGTTCAACGTGCATTCATCATATATAATTCTCCATGGCTTTTATACCTTGTAGGTCTCCTCAAACACAGGCAGGTGCCGAAGCTCACCCCCCGACTCCCCCCACGATTCAATCAAAACAAGAACCTTCTCCCGATTATTCACCACCGTCGTGGGATCATAAACCAACCTCACCATCTCATCGACCACTCCCGCGGCAGCAACCTCAGGGAAGCCCTCGCCACAGTTCTTAACACAGGCCTCAAGCAGGACCAAGGCGAGGTGCTGGGTCCTCGCGTTCTTCGACGTCATCCGCTTCTTGATTCCTCGGACGAACTCGCCACCCTTAACACTTCCTCCGTTGATCGTGTCGCAGATTTTGAGGTTAGTAGCCCAGTCCGGTCCCTCTAAGGTCTCGGCGGTGGCCTCTTCGATGATCTTCTCTGCCTCACTCTGACCTCGGAAGAACTCCTTCATCTTTCGACTGATTTCTGAGCCGCTGATCTTGAGACGTTCACCAAAGGCGGTAAATTTCCCCATAATACCGTCACCCATCTTCACAAAACATAAAGAGTAATAAATCCTAGACCTCCAAATAGACAGCAAAAAAAAAATTAAGAAATTAAAATAACCCAAGAGCAAGGTTGCATGGCATTACCTCGGGGGGATTGAACTTGTTTCTTCTCCAGTTGCTTTTGTTGAAATTGAAGTGTTTCCTGTTGACTCCTCTGTTTATTATATAGGAAATCGAATAGAAGGCTAATTAATTAATTAAGTAAAGTTGGGGAGTTATTCTCTAAACATGAGACTCCGTCCACCGTTGGATCGCAACTTCTTAATTAACGAGCCGTTGGATTGAGCGCTGGACCGAGGACCGCAAGGATTGCTCGCGGGATTTGTTTTCCTAGTGGAGTTGGTTGCGCTGTCGTCACCGCGGAGTTCGAGTTGGGCTGGGTTTGTTTTGGCGGTGGGATTGGATGCGTACTTGGATCT